CCATTTCAGATATTTTATGAGACATTTTTTAGTAAAACCCCTTGTTTGTCTGCAATAATAAGGAGTCCTCCTTTAAATGCTGAAAATGGCTATGTGTTTTTAAAAAATGTAGATGACCGCATCATGGATTTTTGTGGAATTGCATTTAAGGAGTCTGTGTTCCTTATAAGCTATACATTGCATTGGAAACCATGTATAGTGAGAAATGAGTAAAGGTTAGGGGATTTATGGCCTCATTAAGGGTATGGCTGTTGATAAAGCCGAGTGACAGACCAGGGTTTATGTAGCCCCAAATTGTTGAAAGAAAGCTGATGATGACATTTACACAATCTAGGGTTTACGGTAGTTTGCCTGCCTAAGGGATAAAATAAAGTAACTAGAACTAGTCTCAAATCATGGTTACCGTCTTAAGTGCTCTTTTACTGCATCTAGTAATATGTTTCTAATTGAATGTGTCCTCTCATATGCTTAAACAGTAGCATGAAGTTTGAACCTCTTTGATCACTTTCTAGGCTTCAGCATTATGTTGAATTTTAAATCTTAAACCCATGAACCTTGAGAAATCTTCCTTCGACGCACTCGATAATGCAACAAAATCCTCCTCAAAATAATAATCACAACCAATAAATGCCCTGGCATTCTATATTAGGCATAATTCACAGAGTTCTCATGAGTTACCTGTAGATAGATATTCTAGTACAATTGACAATGCCATTTAGCTTCAAATAAGCTGATGTTCCGAAAATTAAACCTTCAAAAGTAGTTCAGCATGAGTATATAGCATTGTTGAGTTCTCGGCCTAGTCGATTGCTCAGTTCCCAATGCAGCATCTGAGAAGTCGGCTAAGGTACAAAACTTGGGACAGTTACAAATTACAGTTACTGTTTTCACAAATCCCTCAAGCCCCAAAGAGGTCATGTTTCCCTCACCAAATTTAAAAAAGAACCATCGATGAATTGGTCGCAAAATTACCGATTCTTTAATCCCTAAGTCATCTTTGCTCATCTCCCTTCTTTGTGAACAACTGAGCATCTCTTTAAAATCGTAACAGCCTATTTTGGAGAGCTAAAATTGGTGTTTCAATACCAATCTCTAAAACAGTAACACCCAGTGGCAAAGAAACATCAAAGATAGTTTCAACACCCTTCTTCAATTTTGGAAACATATCTTTGGATATATCTTCTCTCTAGAGTTTCGGAACTTCTAATTTGTGTCTAGCACACACCACTGATCACAACATTAATGGCGATTTACTAAAACCCCACAAAATTTGTAAAGTTTAATCTGAAATCCTAGAAACCAGACCCAAAAGCACTTGTCAAAAGATAAAACAGAATCAGCCTCATGCATAACCAACTGCTAAATACCTAGATATATTGTAAAAAAGCCAAACAAAAGAGGCAAGACACCATACTTGGGGGTTCATAACCTAACTTTCCCTTCTTTGAACCCCCACTTATAGGATATGTTAAGTTTAGTAATAGTCAAAATCATCATTGTTACCTTTTCTAAAAAGGTTCAGGCGTATTATGGACTTTCGAGTAAAAAAGATATGAAGTTTATTGGGGAGCAAACAAAAACCTAGTGTTTCTACATGGAGGTAAAAAACAAACATAAAAAATGCACTTTGGCGGTCATGGAAAAGGTAGATGGGTCTCCTAGAGAAATAAAAGTAGCCTCCGAAAGAGAAAAGCGTCACTCTCAAAGGGTTTTTTGTTGGTTTAATTTCCACTTCTAGAGAGAATTTAACTCTGTAAAAAGAAAGAAGTTGATCGGTGGTACTGTTTAGTTTGGAGAACGGGCGTTAAAGGGAACATAAATGAGAATTTTGCCAATATTTAGAGAAAGGACGCATTTCTTGTAATCGAAAAGTGTAATATGCATTGTCATAGTGGATTTTGACTTGCCGAGGCTATGACTGTAGGCCATTAGGGGTGTCATTGTAATGTAATTTTTGCATTTCCTTTATTTTCTTGCATTCTTTTTGTTGTTATATTTACCTAGTTTGCATTTAACCAACTGTATCTATGTATTTGGCTTCCTAGTTTTGTAAGTGAGGAATTCCTAAGGACCCTATATCTGGTATCAAAGCATAAGGTGTATATAATGTTAAGATATATGTTTCTAGTGGAGGAAAAGATGTATAACAAAGTTAGATACATGATTTGAGATGGAGAAATATGGAGGCAAAGAGTTTGTAAAACTTTTATAATATAGATAAGAGAGGAAATTATAAAATCTGTTTCAATAGAGATCAAAATCACTACTCCTATATTTTACACAAAAGACTAGGGGTATTATGGTTTTTTAGGTTAAAACAATATGAGGGTTCTCAAGCACCAAGCACAAAACCTTAGTGATCAATACCAATGTTGTCAGGTTCGTTTAGGAGTTTGCTTAAGTTTGGTTTAAAAAATGAGGCAATTTGGTGCTTCGACTAATTCGAAAGAAGATTTCGGTTTTTTTTTATTATTATTTTAAAATAGATATTTTTATAATTTTATAAAAAATTTAAATTTTTAATAATAAATAAATTTATTACATATAAAAAATATCAAAATATAATGTCGACTGACACTAAAATCAAGGAAACATGGAGTGACTTAATGTGGGTTGGCCTTTGGGAAAAACCTCATTGAAGTATTCCAAACCTTTATTCTTTGGTATGAATCCCAACTCATACCCTTACAAACTTCAGCATGCTTTGTACAAAAAGTCCAAGGCCTATCCCTGCCACCAAGGAAATTATTCATGTATGGACAAACTACAGAGTCCAATCCTTATCATCATCACCAAAGCTTTCACGTTCCCAATTGACATGTGTCAATCTTATATATCCCTTCTGCAAACCGCACAAGATTTCGGTGTAAATTGCTAAATCTTAGGTTCATGGAATTTTAATTGTAGGTAAAACCCTTGGATGAAACGAAGCGAATTTGGAGGTATAAATTAATATATAAAGGGGGTAAAAGAGGCATCATACTCAACTTCTGGTCACCTGGTCACCTCCAAAGGGATCATGTGATGGGATATGCAAAAGAGAAATAAATCTCCAAGTGGGGGTGGCAATGGACCTGATTGACTAGACCTAGGATACGGCGGGTAAATTTAATTTTTTGACCCAATGGGTCGGGCCGGGTCCAAAACTTGGACTCAATCACTATTCGGATCTAGGTCCGGGTTCGGGTTAAGACAGACCTAACCCGTACCTGTGAACCGTTAGAGATAAAATATTTCACTTATGTATTATTTGTTTTGGTGCATTAAGATCGTACATAGTAAAAACTCGTAGTCATATTTAGCTATTAAATGTCATATCAGATGGTTTAAAATCTAATGATGGATGATTGTGATCTTATTGTCAATAATATGGGTATATGATGGTAAAAAAAAAAAGAAAAAAAAAAGAAGCTCATAATCATAAAGTGAATTAGACCCCACCACACTCAGGACCCAATGGATTCAATTTTTTGACCTAACAAGTCAGATCTGGGTCCAAGTCTAGCCGGACCCGACCCGTACCCAACCTGTTAGCCACCCCTATCACCAAGAGAGAGACAGAGAGATATAGACTTATTAGATAGAGTCAGTAGTCTCGAGAACCTTATAATGGTTAAATTCAAAACAACATCATATATTAAAAAGTAGGTTGGACTTTTTTTTTTTTTCTGGGAATTTTATTTAGGTAAAAGTTATATAAAGCCGAGACTCTAAACAATCAAATTAGAGTCCACCTCAAAAATTTCGCTAGAAGAGTTTATTTTGATGTTTAAATATCCTCAAATTGATCCTCTCGACATCAAGATGCATGGACATGAGAAAAAAAAATAGATTTCAAGTATTAAAAATAATTCATTTTGTAACACATTTTTTGAACCATCAATTTTCAAGTTTTTCATTATCTGCTTGATGTCCACTATTTTTTAAGCTTTAAAATCTATAATTATATTTGAAAATATATTTTAAGACTATCACAAAGATTACCAGTATTGGGACCGCATTTCTCGACACTATTTGAAGGTATGCTTTACTTTGATTGTTTAGAGAGCTATTAAAAATTTAAAACTATAGGGATAAAAATTCAAAATAACGTCATTTAGTCATAATTCCCTGGGTAGTTTATAACATTTTCTCTCTACAATAGATTATACTTGCAGCTAGTACATTGATAACATTTTCTCTCTACAATAGATTATACTTGCAGCTAGTACATTATACTTGCAGCTAGTACATTGTAGGGTACTCAAATAAGAAATCTGCCATCCATAAACATCAATGGACAGGGAAGATGAATTTCTATTCTACTAACAGTGCAGACTTGGAGTGGAAAAGCAGCTCCTCTCCATTCTCTGTTCATAACTATGGAGTCTATGGACACTGGATAGTGGTCAGAGTACCCCAACGCTATACTCGCTATTGAGTAAAGGATTTTTTTTATTTAAAAAAAAAAATGTATACAATAAGACTATTTACTTTTGATACAAGGAGGTCACAATTATCATCGACTGTTAGATTTGAGATCAGATAGTTGAGAGTGTGTAATTGTTTGGGCACAAAATCAAAAATAAAATTTCTTAAATGTTTTGATACAATTTCATCTATTGGATTTCATATTTAATGGTCAAACGACCTTACACAAAAAATAAATAGTCGCATAGTATACAATCTTTCATTTTAAACTTTCTACCGAACAATTCATCTAGAAAACCTCCCTCTCTCTCTCTCTCAAACAAGTTACATAAAGCCAATGACAAGTTAAAAGGATGACATATTACACGGCCATAGCCAAGTACTGCAATGATCAAATGTCTTTTGTTGAAGTGCCTAGGTTGGTTATGTTGACGCCATAGCCATTACGTCCATTAATTTCAATAGAGAGAGAGAGAGAGAGAGTTGTTCTGATTGTTGAACCCAGTAATATTGGGATTACAGTATGCTTACACAAAAGACAGGCAAACTATAGATACTACTAAGATTGTCCAAGAATGTATTCATGCAAGAAGTGATGAAAGTAGACCAAGATTTATTTGCAAGCAAGACTTTGAGAAGGCTTAATACAAAGTAGACTGGAATTCCTATAAAAAATAATGGGCCTAATGGGGCTTGGGTCACACTTGAGGATACAGATAGCAGGATGCCTCCCATCTACTTATTTATCAGTCTTAATTATGGCATAGCCAAAGGCGATTCTCTATCACCATTCCTTTTCTCCTAATTATGGCATAGCCAAAGGCGATCCCCTATCACTGCTCTTTTTCTCCTAATTATGGCATAGTCAACATTTTCTCAATGGTAGAGGCGATCCTCTGTCACCGTTCCTTTTCTCAATGGTAGTAGAAGCATTCAGCCATAGGGGACTACTAAAAGTATTCAATAGTAGTAGAAGCATTCAGCCATAGGGGACTACTAAAAGTATTCAATGCCTTGGGTGATGACCCAACAAATCTCATCTGCATATTGCCGATGGCACAATCATCTTTTGTAAAGCACAAGTCCAAATGTGGAATATGTACCTTTTTTCTAATGGGAAAAGTTTACATAGAGCTGAGGCTCTAAACAATCAAATTAGAGCCTACATAAAATTTTTTTGATGCCCATATATCTTCAAATTGATCATCTCGACATCAAGATACATGAACAGGAGAAAAAAATGGATTTCAAGTTTTGGAAGTAGTGTATTTTGTAGCGTATTTTTGAACCGTCAATTTTCAAGATTTTCAAGTTTTCATAGATCTGTCGATCTGCACTATTTTTAAAGTTTTAAACTTTATAAATAAAGAATAAAATGTATTTTAAAGCTATCACAAAGATTTTCAGTAATGAAAACCACATTTCTCAGACACTATTAGAAGGTAGGCTCTAATTTAATTGTTTAGGGCTTAGGCTCTATGCAAACCGCACCCTTTCATAATTGTCTTTAAAGTTGTGTCAGGATTTAAGATAAAAAATACGGGGTTGAATTGAGAAGTCAATTGACAAAGGGTTCTTTGGAATGGGATCCGGCCAATGTCATTAATTGGGTCAAGGGGAACCCCAATTTTAGATGAGATCAAAACAGTCCCGGAAAGGCTACGTGCACAAATTCATTCATCAATGTTACAGAGAAAGCAATATGCAGGCAGATGCTTTGATAAAGGAGGGTGCAACCCGAACAATTTTTATTTTTGTTTGTTAATATATTTTGAGTGTATAGAACTAATGATATTTTTCAACCATCTACATGTTGTCTAAATTTGTGTTACAGACTAATGTAAATTTGAAGACAGATGATAGAAAGTTCCAAGTTGACATTTAAAAAAAGAGAGGGAGAGAGAAACCGTTAACTAGCAAACTTTTATGGTGAAGAACAATGCAAAACCTAAATCATGGCAACGAACAATGTAAACTCTATACATTCTCTGTCACCTCGCTGCATGGCCCATATTGAGAAACTTGGTGTGAACAAGGATGGTGGAGAAGATGGTTGACTGTCAATGGAGAGTAGAAAACAAATGAAAATTTCATAATTCAATCATAAACAACTGAAAAATATTTCTCTGTAAGATCTCTCTCCCCTCTCTCGCTGTCTCTCTCCCTCTCTCTATACCCTATAAAAAAAACCAATAGGAACAACATCACTTCTGTTCCACATGGCAACAGCAAAAAGAAACAGGAATCGATGTCACCCAGCTGTAGGATAGGAGCGAGATGGGTCATCAGGCCTCGGGTAGTCCCTTCTGACAATCAAAATTCACCCTGAAGCTCTTGCTTTTTCACCCCTGAACCTTGCTTCTCTCTGCCTGCATCTCTGCTGCCAATCTGATCCCCCTGCCTTTCCTATGAGTGTCTGCATGTATCAGTTTGCAGGAATTTTTCTAAGGCCTTCCTTCTCTCTCTATCCCTCTTCTATATACATTTGTCATATTATACTCTCACCCCTCTGCATGCGATGCAGAAGCATCCATTGTGCATGCAAGGCCCTTTTTTATCCTCTCTCTCTACCAGGGCATGCCCAACCCTCCCACCCCCTCCCCCCAGGTGTATGCTGCATGCACATGGGTGTGCAAAAAGGTCCTATTATTATCTATATGAGCTCTCTCTGTGAACAAATATCCATGCAGAGGCATATATGTAAGAAACCTCCTTTTTACCAGTAATCACCACAGGAGCACACCCTGTCCTATTATTATCTATATGAGCTCATATGTAAGAAACCTCCTTTTTACCAATCTTTATGAGCTCTCTCTGTGAACAAATATCCATGCAGAGGTATATATGTAAGAAACCTCCTTTTTACCAGTAATCACCACAGGAGCACACCCCGTCCTTGAAATGGTGAAATCGGTTTGTATCTCTAAGCACAATTTCCCTCCCAGCATACCCTGATACGAACTTGATTGCCTCATGGCACTCCGTGCACACTCTCAGGTTCTTCATCACCCGTATCGGCCGCCCTCCCTCAACACTAATAAGCCCGAAAGCCACTGCCAGTCTCTCACTATGGAAGTCTGCCCCCCTCTGTATCCCCTCAATCTCTGTCTCTATATCCTCAGCCTTTTCCATAGAAGTCATCAATCTTGTCCTCTCCATTGCCACCTGAATCTCCGAGAGCTTTGTGTATATCTCATCTGAGCGAGCATGGGACCTATCAGCCGCAACAAATGAATGAACCTGTTGTCCAAGCTCAACCCAACTGAGGCCAGCCTCTTTCTTAACCCCTCTGTCTCTCATTGCCTTTCGTGCCTCTGCTGCCTCATGCAATAGACCAGCATCAGCATACGTGTTCACAAGAAGCACATATGCCCCTGACCTTTTGGAACCTGTCTTGAAGAGGTGCTCTGCGGCAAAGGAAGCCATGTGTATGTCCCCATGCATGCGGCTGGCACCGAGGAGGGCACCCCAGACAGACTCACAGGGCTCGAGCGGCATTTTCTCAATGAAGCCTTTGGCCTCTAAGAGCCTGCCAGCCCGGCCTAAAGCGTCGACCATGCATGTATAGTGGGCAGAGAGGGGCTCGATGTGGTGCTTGTGGAGCATGAGGCTGAAGTACGACTCGGCCTTATCGACAAGGCCTGACCGGCTGCACACAGACAGGATGCAGAGGAAAGTGATGAAGTTTGGTTGGAAGCCTGAGGCCTACATTCATGCAAGGTGGGTTATGGATTCAAAATTCTGTAAGTGTTTGGCGAAAATTTATTTTCGGCTCTTAGTTGAAAATATTATGGGGAATGCATGCATATTCAGGCATGGAGTTGTTACCTGAAAACTATGAAGTAGGTCTCTATCTATCTTCAATGGTGTAAAATATAAGAGCTCATTCCATGGAAATATCTCTTGCAAGTAGTGCAATCGTGTAAACCACCCAAGAAAACATAAAGAATGGTGTACAATAAAAGCTCACATTCCAGGGAATGTTTTTAGTTTTCTCTAGATAAACAGGAATGATTTAGCCATGCCTAGGATTGCAAATTACCTTTTAGTGCAGAGTTTTTGTTAGAAACTCATAATACTGCATAGAACTCTCTCTTTATTGATGAATAAAGAATATACAATACCCCGTATAAATATACAGCTAACAGTTCTGGAAAGACACCCACAGTTATTGATAATTACTAACTAATCTTATCGTAATCCTAGACAACTAAGAGATATATACCCATACACAGAATACTGCAAAGAACTCTCTCTTTATTGATAAATAAAGAGTATACAATACCCCGTATAAATATACGGCTAACAGTTATGGATAGACACCAATAATTATTGATAATTACTAACTAATCTTATCATAATCCTAGACACCTAAGAGATATATACCCATACAATCAAGAGAGTGAACATGTTTGAACAATAAACTCAAGATGCTTTGACACAAAGCAGCTGGAGTTTGAACAATAAATTGCATAAACGAACGAGTTGAATCTTGAAGTCTTCAAGTGCATGTATAAGCAGTGGTCCCCATGCTCAGATTGCTTGAACAATAAGCACAAAAAGCAGTGGTGAATCTGCAAGCCTCAGGAACAACAGACAGTCGAGAAAACAGAATGGCACTTGGAAGAGCCAACAGAACTCGGTGGGGATCCAAGACAGATTCAGCAACTCACAATCCAAGACAAATTCAGCAACTCACAGTCCAGAACACAGGCCAGAACAGGGACAAATGTTGTTTTGCAGCGAGTCAAAACACGACTCGAAGGCCTTTGGCTGTACTTCCTTGGTCTATGAGTTTATCTCATTAAATTGCTAGCGTTGATTGATTCAACCATGGACGAAGGGGACAGCTGAAGTTTTTGTGCAAAGGGGGAGTCTTCATTGGATAAGTCTCAAGAAAATCAACTTGAAGTTGAAAAGTTTCGTTGGCATAAAGAGTTCCTGGTGTGCCATGAACTTCAATAACACACCTCTATAGATTATCAGTGACTTGGTGCTTGAATCCAGCAAGTGCATTGACTTGCCATTCCACGAGCTCTTTTTGGAGTCTATTGCATGCAATCTTACTCAGGGTCTTGCGAGATGCGGAGGCGCTCATGCTTGAGAAGGTGAAGAGAGCAAGAAGGGTCTTAATGTTTACCGCCAGAGAGAGAGAGGAGAGGCTTAAAAGGCAACCACCATGGACACAGACCAGTCTTTTCCTTTGATGGTACTGCCGAGATCAGGGGTCAGATTTTCCTTTGTGCTGGATCCTTCAAAGTGCAATAAGCAAATTCGAATTGCAAACCCGCAAAGGGGTTCACAACGGTTTCACAAAGTTGCAGACCAAAGCTAAGTAGTGGAATGGGAGAAATTTGCAAATTTGCAAAGCAAACATGTAGTGATTGAATCAGGGAAATTTGCAAAGCAAAGCATAGCAAATCTCAGTTACACAGGCAGCAGGTGGCTTCGCAAACAATTTTGCAAATTCTCAAGAGAGAAAAAAATCTGTACTGGTCGCCTAAATAAAGAAAATCCGACTTTGTGCAGAGATCACTTTACAGAGAGAAAGACAGCATCAGAGAGGGTACAGCTGTTTGACAAAGCATTGGAACGAATCTGAAGCCGAGCTTAGATCCGGCAACCTCATATCTGAGGTGCGAGCTCAAATCTGAGGTTGAGGAGCCTATGGCTCTGATACCATGCTAGAAACTCAGAATACTGCAGAAAACTCTCTTTTTATTGATAAATAAGAATATACAATACCCCATATAAATATACGACTAACAATTCTGGATAGACACCAACAGTTATTGATAATTACTAACTAATCTTATCATAATCCTAAACACCTAATAGATATATACCCATACAATCAAGAGATATATATACACTAACAGTTTTATATCATTTGATAGGAGCAGTGACTAAAAAGCCAAATATTAAGTATAAAGCAAGTCCTAATGATATATTTTTGGGAACCATGTCACTAGAAAGCCCAATCCTTTGTAAAGAATTGCTACAACTTCTCCTAAATGACAAAATTAATGTTTTTTTATGTTCAACGACAATGTAGGCCTATATTTCCACTCTTGGCATGGCAGTTGCAGCCAAAAGGCCAGGACCCTATTGTTTGAACTCCAGCAAATCTATCCAACAAAGAGTAACATAAAAAATAATTAGTAAATATATCTACCATTGTGCATAAGCCAAAGGTTAGGACCTTTTCCAGCCCATCCCTCCTGAGACCCTGCTTAGGCAGGACCAGCACCGGGTTATGGCCCTTTTTATCCACCATCCATCCTCCATGACAGATGGGTTGAGATGAAATGCTAGAAAAAAAAAAAAGTACATCTCTGACCATTGATGCCCCTAAGGGTCATGGTGTACTATGCGTGCAATGTGTATATTTTCGTTTGGTTCGGTGGTTCAGCCCCGGAAGTGGGCTATGTGGCCAATTGGCCCTGGCCACCAATGTACAATATTGCAGAAAAATACTATAATCACTAGTAACGACCACAACCAACGGGTTGAGAACCGTCCAATACATTGGTTGGAAAGCGATGGCAAGAAAGAGGGCTGCACTGTACAGTGGGATCAACTGTCTCCAATACTGCCCAAGCTATTGATGCAATGGTGGATAGAAAATAGGGCTGTCAAACCACACAATAAGACCCACTTTCTCCAATGCCATCCAACCAATTGATGAGACGATGATAACCTCTAGGTCATGAAGATAAAATTGGAATGCTATGAACACAATATGCATATTATATTTCTCCACTAAACAAAAAGAGAGATGGGATTCACCTGCATCTCCTCAAAGAGCTCGAAAGCTCTCGCACTAAGCCCATGTTGAGAGCACGCTGCAATCACCGCATTCCACGCACCCAAACTCTTCTCTCTCATCTCTCTGAACACCCTCTCAGCCTCCTTCACCACCCCACACCTCGCATACATACCAATAATCGCGCTCTCTACAAAACTTGAACCCTCCACACCCACCTTCACGCACACACCATGCACTGCTTCACCCAGTCCCAAGCACCCTACACCACCACAACCACGCATAACACTTGACAACACCGACTCATTCACCCCCACCCCCTCTTCCAAGGCCCTCTTGAATGCACATACAGCCTCCGTACACAATCCCCCGTACACAAGTCCACTAATCAAACCACCCCAAGTCACCACATTTCTCTCAGGCATTTCATCGAACATTTTGCATGCACAGAAGATATCACCAAGCTTAGCATACATATCAACCAATGCACTACCCACATACACAACACCATCAAGCCCAGACTTGACGGAGAGAGCATGGAGGGCCCGAGCTGTGAGCTCATATTGGGCCGAACCAGCAGCTGTAATAGCACAAGGGAGACTGAACTCAGTGGGTCTATGGCCATGGAGAAGCATGGATTTGAAGTGATAAATTGCTTCAAAATGGAGCTGGTTTTGTGCAAGAGCCGAGATTATAGAGGAAAATGTAGCTTGGGTTTTAACAGGAGCAGTTTTAAATAGGAGGGTGGCTTCGTTGATAAAGGAACACTTGGCATAGAGGTTGAGGAGATGGTTCGTGAAGAGAGGGAAAGAGAAGAAGCCAATTTTAATGGAGATGGCATGGATTTGAAAGCCTTTACAGATATTTTTCGTGGGAATGAAGGAGCGGAGGAGATCGCAGAGGTGCCTGCAAGCTTGCTCTACGCCATTAGAGGAACTTCCAGGTCGATTTCGAGGAATTTCCAGAGATGATAAATGTGTCTGTAATTGTACCTTTGGAGCGCCATTACAGGAGATTGGAGGTGGGGCTTGAGGAATTTCCAGAGATATGAATTGGGTTAATGTCATTTTTTATGAGGAAGTTGTTGTTTATTCATTTCAATAGAGAGAATTTCATGGTTGCCTGTGATTTTACGCGCTATTAAAGGAGCTTGGAGTTTAGGCGTCTCACTTTATTTGAATTTTGCAGAGATCACAACCGTCTGTTTGTCGTCTCAGTTTCAAGTGAACATTGGGCATGGTCGCAAGCATTATGCACCGCCTGTTTCTGATGATGGACGGTGTAGATTATTTCTACACATAGAGATGCTTCCCTTGGCGTACACAGTCGTGTAGGGAAAGTATGAGACTTGCGGATTATGTACCTTCTGTTCTCCAGATGGACGGTAGGAGATGAACAATTCCCATTCAAAATACCATGTTCGATGTACCCTCCAGAACAGCCCACTCCAATTAATTGAGAAAAAGCTTTCACGATGACGATGTACCTCCAAAAAACGGTCTGAGTGAGCCGTTTCTTGAAAGGTCTCATTTTTGTGAGACCACAGTTGGAATCAAAACGAGGCATAATGTCCACACCTTCATGAGGGGTTAAGATGTGTTTAAGTGTACAAACAAATCCGATATTGGAAACTCCAAAGTCATATATATATATATATATATAAAATATTAACTAATATTGTATAAAGTAAAAAATCGCTTAAAATCAATATCTCTTGAAGGGTCTCATTTTTGTAAGACCACGGTTGGAGTCGAAACGAGGCATAATGTCCATACCTTCATGAGGTGTTAAGCTCTTTTTAAGTGTACAAACAAATCCGATATTGGAAACTCCAAAGTCATATATATATATATATATATATATATATATATATATAAACTAATATTGTATAAAGTAAAAAATCACTTAAAATCAATATACTTCTTTATTCTCTTCCAATGTTCTAATATGTTTTGTTGTCCAATATAATCATCCCCAAGCTTTCTTGTTCGCTAAACAAACTTATCTTCAACTTAGTTTTTAAATGTTAGCCTCACCAATTAACTTGAAGTTATATAGAGAAATGCTTGAAAGTCTTACAGCAAAATAAATGGAAAAAATGAAAACTTGTCACAACAAAAGTATGTTATTCTAAAGCATGTCATAATAAAAACATATGATTCCTAAATTAAGAATCAAAAGCACACAAAAGATTTTACAAGTTCATATGCCTTATACACTTAAATTTATACTACACTTAAATTAAAACTATATGTTACTGAGATTGCTATTTGCATCACATTTTACTAAAGTAAAAAAATGTAGGTGCAGAAAATGAAAATAACGATCAAAATTAGCAATCGACAACGTTATTTTTGGGGTGGACAATCCTCCCCACTGATTCAGGTTGGAAACACTGCCTATTACAATTTGTGTCATTATGAAACTCATGATTTATTGTTACCATATTGTAGACTTTCTTCTAAATTTAATTTTATCTTTGAATTCTAATACCCTAGATCCCACTATCCCGATACACCATAGAGCATACTAAACCATGCTCAACATCATAATCCAACCCTAATTATTATGAGAATATACCAAAGATTCATAATATCCCATTTTAGGAAGCCAAATATCCTTAAAAATCCTGAATCCTTAGCTTAGAAAATCAAATCACCTATAATAGATTGAATATTACAAGATTTGTCAAACCGAGATTTTTTCTTTTTTTTTTATCGAGATTGACAAAATAAATAAATAAAAGTATCTCAAATCCTAGACAAATATCTATAAGTTGGTACGGCACATAGGTGCTCAGGTTTCATCTTTCTATTATGCTTTGTTTTGTTGTATTTTCCTATTTTATTTTATTTTATTTTTTTATATCATTACGTAGTTTATTGTTTTGGTAGTCATTTTATTTTTATTTTTTTTTATTTTTGTTTTTTTTAGATTTCACACTGTCTAAATCAAGTCGGCCGCTGATCTACAAAGAATAAGTTTTTAAGGCTGATTTATCTGTAGATCTGATTTCGAGGGGCCCACCTATCTCAACTCTCTAAATATTAGTTTTAGAAACAGGGACTTTGATTAGTCTAGTTAGTTTCAAAATTGCATCTAAATACATATGTATTTTATACCTTGTGGAGTCTACAACAATATTATACAACAAAATCAAGCGTGTAAACATGTAACTATCTAATACCTTGTGCAATCTGCAATTATATCATATAACAAAACCAGAGGTTACAAAGATACATAGTATTCAAAATTTTCACTATATTACATCACCCATTCATATGCAGAAGTATTGCGTAACATATTCACTTAAGAACAAAATGTATATCCATTAAAAAAAAAACTCAAAATATTTAGTAGTATAATATGTATTTAAAATTTAAAATCTACTTTTAAATAAGTAATTTAAAAGAAAATAAATTGAAATTCAAGTTTTATTAGTTGTGGTGAGAGATCATATATCCCAGGGAACATACTACCCATTTGTATGTTATACGATGATTATTAGTTCATTCAATTATATCATTGGTTACCTCATAGAATAGGCTCATTTTCCTTATGTCTATTTTTTTTTTTCCTTCGGCAACTTTCCTTTTACCTATTCTTTTATTTATGTCTAAATTTATCAATCTCTTAAATGTTATATATTACATGATGTACAAAGCTATCTCCATGTTTTTTGTGTTGAACTCCGCGTTATTGCAATTAATAAAGCCAGAAGATTTCCTCCTCCTGCGGGAGGATACTATACATTTCCATCCTCAGGCCATGCTATAGATACTTTTCGATTCTCAAATTCTGGGGATGTAATCTTTATAACCCATAAAATAATCTCAAAAATGTTTTTTTCAAAATAATCTTTATACTATTCATTTTCTGCACTCATTGAATGCATTTTTTCTTCCACCACACGCTTAATCACTGTTAGCCATTTGCAAACATTAACCTTTGAAAAGGATTAATCCATGTGATAGAATAATTAATGTATTCGATCCTTTGGTTGGGGCTTATTGAAGCTAACACTCACCAAATCTCATGCATTTTTTCTGTTCCTTTCCAACAGTTAAATGCTTGTAAACGAAGGCTTATTGCAGTTGAGCAAGCAGTGAAAGCGCCACTTCAACCCATGTAGGACAGAAAATCCCTCATAAGTTTTCTTCTTACTGTTGTACTTTTTCCGCGACGGCGGTGCCACGCAGATGGCCCAAGAGAGGGAAAGCGATGGCTAACAACGAAAGCCTAAACGGTTACATACATTTGCTTTCCCCAAATGAATGTATTTTGCTCATTCAGACAGTTCTTTTCCTAGATGGCAAGGAGAATGAGGACAATTGAATCATTTGTGGCCTTTTCAAAAATCGAATTCTATTATACTACTACTTGGATTTGTAGATGGGATCCTGCCTTTTCTCTAACTATGGCTTTTGTCAGATAAATTTACCGATTAATTTGATTAACGATCCACACTTAGAAGTCTTAGATATCCAGATTAGGGTTAACTAAATGTGCATATTGAATAGTTTTTCGTAACGATCTTTCGACGATCGTTTGATCCGGATATGAAATAAACGGCATTTGCATGTAAGGAAACCAAGGAACGAAGAAACCTTCCTCATAAGAACCTTATCAAACAGTTCCTTATGAGGAGTACAAAAGAAAACTCCATGATACTTTTTCCTAGAGGAAAGCTTCGACCTACAAAATGCCACACAACGCCAACACAAACCCAAACAAGGTCCAAGTACACTGAGCAACCAATTGTGCTCATTTTCAAACTTAAGTTATAGACAAAGAAGGTCTTGGATGATGCTGGTGCAAAACCCCATATCATTATCAGAGTTTTATCCCAACTATTTCGGGTTTGATATATGAATTATGTTATGCTGACTCATTCTATCAAGGGTCATACCTCAATCACACTTTTTTTACTTCCATCCATATCTTTTTGGGTCTTTTTGTTGTTTTTTTAAAACTTTTCACTTAAACCAAATCACCAGTTTTAAGTCCTAACTAGTGCAAAACTTTGTATATGTAGCATAAATATTTACTCATTTAGAAATCAAAATTAAAATTCTCTCTCAATACTCAAGCTAATAGATTTTAGAGAAATGGAGGTAGTGAACCATGGAGGCCAACCCAAAAGAAAACATGGAGAGGAAGGTCCATTTTTCATACGATAAAAGACTTGCAAACTCAGGATATATCTCTCGGTCTTCTTTTCTGGGTAATTCAATAGGGAAGGGGTCTTTTATACATACAAAGAATGTCTCCCAAGTTCTAACTTTACGTTAACGTTGTGTGCATTTTAAATTTTTTTTTTCTAATTTTTTTATATTCTATTTGAAGAACCAGGTTGGGCATGCATGCCCAAAAATTTTATCTATAAAAAGATAAAATCAAACACTAAAAAAAGACAGTCAATTGATGTGGTCTGTACTAACCCATGGTCCGGAGGGCCTACCTTTTTTTTTTGCCCTTTTAGGAAACATGGCAATTTTGGACATTGGTATCATGTACTAATGAAATATGATGTATAGGGAAATGGGGCACACGGTTCAGTGAAAAATGAAAAAGGTAAAGGTAAGGTACACTCCCATCAACTTTTTCTTGCCCTCGTGTGCAATTTCAACACGTAGACCCTTTTTTTACATGAAAAATGATGAGTCCATGGATCAAAATAGCACAGCACTTCATTATTGGTCACTCTCTCTAACTCTGTTTCTCTCTCTAAAACTTATTCAACATTTGAGTGCGGTTCAATGGGGCCGTACTTCTTTTGGGGTTGTTCTAAATGGGCCCTATTTTATGTCAAATCTCCAAAAATTTTCACTGATTTCTACCTTTTTCATTTAGGAAGTACCCTACATATGCCATTTTGTTTTTCCCCCTCTCTCTCTCTCATCTTTGGCATCTGTTGCATGTGTTTGGCCTCTCCCTTTCTCTCTCTAACACATTTTCCTTGATGCCAATTAATGGATCTCTTTCTCTCTCCTAGTATCGTACTTCATACTTTTGAAAGGCATTTCTCTCTCCTCTATCTCTCTAGGACGTTTCCCTACCTTTGCGTTAGCCTTGGGCTGCACCTCATGAATTGTTCTAGTGTAGTGTCAAAGAGAGGGGACGTACCCTCGCTTTCATGTTAAAACAAACAAGAGAGAGAGAGAGAGATGGTTGATGTAAACTCCAAGCAAGAACTTTAGCTTAGTTATCAAAAAACCTCACTCCTCTCTCTCTCTCTCTCTCTCTCTACAATGATGATTACCTTGTGAGTGAAGTAAAAATGAAACCCCAAGAGAAAAGGGTTTGAGTCAAAGACAAGAAGCATAACAAGCCATTCTCTCTCTCTCTCTCTCTCTCTCACTCTCTAGGCATTCTCTCTCTCTAACTCTTTAAGCATTTTCTCTCTTTCTAACTCTCTAGGCATTTTCTCTCTCTCTCTCTCTAACTCTCTAGGCATTCTCTCTCTAACTCTCTAGGCATTCTCTCTCTCTAGGCATTCTCTCTCTCTCTCTAATTCCCAAGTCTCAATCCAAACCGTTTTTGTTCCTCACCCGACCAAACCAACAAGAACACATAACCCCCCCGCCCACCATTTCCCTACGTTCCACGCAAAACCCCACTCACCATCATGAAGCCTTCTTTTTCGCTCCACCCCCCCCCCCCCCCTTCTTTTTATAAATGCCCCACCTCATTTCATACACCCATTTGGACTGTAACGCCGTTAAACTCCCCCAAAAGCCCAAACAAGAGAGAGAGTGATCTTGAATTCAAATCTCTCTCTCTTGCAAACCAAACTGACCTACCTAAGAGAGAGAGAGAGCCATCAAGCATAAGATACAACAAAATAGAGTGAGAGAGAGAGAGAGAGAGCGAGATCCCAATACAATTACACTCCTCCCATCTTCAACCAGCAAAAAAAACTCAGCCATGAGAAAGCCTGACTCCCCTGCCAAAGTGTGTAACAATATCAACAATAATGGCAACAGCAATACCAATGGCAACAGCAACAACAACAACAATAGTAACAAGAGGTTGAGGAAGGGGTTGTGGTCTCCAGAGGAGGATGAGAAGCTTATGAGGTACATGATGGGGAATGGTCAGGGATGTTGGAGCGATGTCGCCCGCAATGCCGGGCTTCAGAGGTGCGGCAAGAGCTGTCGTCTGCGGTGGATCAACTACCTCCGCCCGGACCTCAAGCGCGGCGCATTCTCACCGCAGGAAGAAGAGCTCATTGTCCACCTCCACTCCATCCTCGGCAATAGGTATCTAATTGGACCACCACCACTATCATCATCTTCATGGTCATGGCCATTATCATCATTATGGTCATGGCCGTCATCATCATCATTGTCATTACAGGAAAAATGTTGTGAGATTTTGTACATTTTAGTGATAATTTTACCTTTTTTATTTATTTACTACCTTGCAATGATCTCGCAATATTTTCTCCATCAACTTTTTTATTTTCTTTTTTTACTTGGAAGTTTTTGGATAATTTATCGTGCACTATTAAGCTTATCTATAAGGGAAAAAATGAACCCATGTGAAACTTCACATATACATATGAATTATGTAAGTTCATAGAATGTAGATGCGACAAGAAAAAAAGGAAATTATACGACATGCTTTTTGTTGATTTCATATTATATCATGCAAGGTTATAAGAATAAACATAATCTTTTAAGAGAATTTATGGTAGAGATTTATAAAATATTTAAAAGTTATTTACATATGGACCTTGAATAAGTTAGGAAAATACGAATTGCTCCTTTTATACGAGAAAATTACATTAAAGGTCCGCGATTATTTTTTTTTGACAAAATTACCCCTCAGTCTAAGGTTGAAATTCTCGGACCTTTTTTTTTTTTCGTCGAAACTTAAGTTTCCTCAAACGGAAGGTTAATTTTTTTTTAAAAAAAAAATCAAAACGATCTTTATTATAATTTTCAAGTATAAAAAGAGCAATTCGTTACTCATATTTTTTTAACTTATTTAAGGTCCGCACGTAGATAACTCAATATTTAAAAAAAAAGTTGATATTTATTACTAATAAAAAGCTAGACCAGATGATTGTAAATCCTTCAATGAAAAAGAAATAGAAAAAATGTGCTAGTTTACACAAAACGCATTATGTTATCACTTTTGGCAAACATACGTATACTTGTTCCTGGCAATAAGTTCCCTTCATTAATTTATTCCATTTCTAAAAGATGTTCAAAAGATAGAAGTTCGAAGATCCAAGATCTCCCAAAATAATTTCTACCTCTTCCAAAAATTCATTAAAATATCATATCAATCAAGTTTAGTCATCATGATCATCATGAGTAGCAACAAATACATGATCAGTGTCATTACCATCATCAGCATCACAACATGACCATAATCATCATGGCAAGAAAACCATCAACAAAGGAAATAATATCACCATTGCCGACACCATCACCATCACCATCACCATCACGATTCATATTAATGTCCACACTCCTCATGATCTCCCAGTTTTATTATGATTATTGTCATCACCACATTTTCATTTGAATTATTTCATGATTTATTTCTTCCTCTTACTTATATTATAGAAGGCATAAGAGACTTTGAGATTAAAAGAATCTCCCTTTTCTCCAGGCCAAGAGCCCAAATCTGAGAGAGCATTATGTTCTCTCACTATGAAACCTTAATCAATGTTTTATAATACCTTCAGTTTATTTGGGATTAAGGGCACAAAGCATGGAGGTTAGAAACATCAGTATTTTTAGTTTAAAATTTTCACATTATCATACTGATTCTCATAGTAACCTAGAACTGAATGAATTAGTCACTTCCCCCCTCCAGCTGATGGTTAAATGCTATGCTGATTAATAGCAAGGAAATATACATCAGTTTAATAATCTTGGTTAATATGTTCTATTTCATAAATCAAATACCATATATAATATAGTTTCATAATCTTGGTTAATATGTTTTATTTTATAAATAAAATACCATATATAACATAGATAATTGGGTAAAGCTATAGGAACAATCATGGCTACTTTCTTTATCCATGCATTTTCATTACTTTGCTTGCAATTTACTTTTTGTAAATTTATCTTAAATCTACTAAACCACTCTGGTGAAAGTTTCTGGTCTTGAATATGAAGGAAACCTAGATATTTTTCTGGGAATTGGCACTAAGAGTAAATAACTAAATAATTTTGAAGGATTATTATTTTTCATGTGATTAGTTCCTGAGGCATTTGTTTTTTATAATGAAATTGTTTATGTGTGTGTGTCAGTTGGCATCTCAATTTTGTATCTTGCTATTCTAATTTCTTATGCCATTTTTCAGAAAACTCTTTGGCCTTTTTATGAACTAAGAGCTCATCTATTGCTACTCCCCTTCCGAATCCGGCCTTGCAGGTGGTCGCAAATCGCAATGCGCCTGCCAGGGCGAACAGACAATGAGATCAAAAACTTTTGGAATTCCACAATCAAGAAAAGGCTGAAGAGCAATCAATCAGCACCAGCAAAGCCTGAAAGTCCTCAAGCTGGCCTCATGGCCATGCATGACAGTAACACGAGCATGCATGACTGCGACATGGCAATGGCCATGGCCATGACCATGTGCATGGAGTCCCTTTCATCATCCCTATCATCATCATCATCATCATCATCCATGCCGTCTACATGCAACAGGACCAGCCAGTCGGCCGGTGTCGAGAACTGTTATGGGATGACCGGTTTAGCTGGTTACTTTCAAATGCCAACGTGCCTAAATGATCTGGGCTTTGATAATGGGGTTTTGGAAGTTGGGCAGATGGGTGATGGTGATCTGAGCTTGGAGGGGGATCTATTTGTGCCCTCATTGGAAAGCATAAGCTTAGATGAGGATATCAATAACAACCATGAAAATGATAGCAATAACAACACAAAAAATAACAGCAACAACTATGATAACATCACTAATAGCAATTACAGCATTGTGAATTGCAATGCTAACAGTAATAACTTGGGTAATAATTGTGAGAGTTTAAATAATGGGAATTATTGGGGAGGAGAGATGAGGATGGGTGAGTGGGGGTTGGAAGATATAGTTGGGGGCTCATCTTTTTCCTTCCCTTACCTGGATTTCCAACTTGAATGATGGAGACCCTAAAAAAATTAGGTTTAGGGTTAGGGAAAGTTTCCCATTTCATTTCTAGGACAACTAGAACTGTGATGACCTTGTTTTTCATGAAAATTCATAAAAGGGTCCTTAATTCTTCTTTGTTTGTTAAGAGTTGTGAAGAAGTTGCTCCCAAGCTCTTGAAACCTAGGCAAAGCCACTGTTTCAGACCTAATTTTCATGCCACTTTTTTGTTGCCATTCAAATTGGATCCTGCTGGGCCACACCAAATGATTCAGGCTCCCAAAATTTCAAGTACTTGTTCTAAATGTGGTGTGATCCATTTGGATTGTACAATGTGAACTTTTTTTATGGATTAAGGCCTATTTTGGTCATTCATGAAAAAGTAAACGTTTTTGCATACTCTATCCAAGTGTACCTAGGTAGAATCAATAATCACACTTCTAGAAATGTGCATACAGGATCCTTGTGGGGAAAAAAACAAAAGACATGTGCATAAAAGATTCAAAAATGGGGGACCATCACATTGATGGCAATACTTTGGTCATGGGATGTACAAGTTTAGAAATGAGGAGAGATGATTACCATGTCAGTGAATAAAGCTGAATAAAAGAAATAAGCATCTTCTGGCTTTCTTTTCATCTTTTTCTCTCTCCTTTCATGTTCAATATACATAATACTGTGTACTTCATTGTATATAGAGTAACATGTATACTTCTCTCAAATGGAATGTCCTCTTTTTATGCCAAATTTGCTGTCTATTTTGAAGCACACACAGACACATCTCTATAGTGTTTGCAAAATCGAATCGAGAACGGTTAACCGAACATGGGCTTAGAAGCGCTTTAACTTACCTAATCAGTAAACCAGCCAATTCAACCGTTCTAATCGGACATGTCCTGGGGTCAAAAAAGTATTAAAAAAAAATTTAAAATATACAAAAAAAAATCTACTAAAATATGAAAAACATATAAAGAATGATGAAAACAAAACACATTCAAATGAAGTTGAAAATTAATGAAAAAATGGATTTTAAATAATCGATTTGTGCCTACGGGTATTTTTTAATTTTTTTTGAAAAAAATAGAAAAATATAAAAGTGAGTATTAATGAACAAAATAATTTTTAATCTTTACCATAATTTAAATAATTTTAAAAAATGCATTACAAACCAAATTCATTACTTTTGGGAGTTTATATACATTTTTTTATTTTTTTTATTTTTAAATACTGGCCGATCACCAAAACGGTCCAAAACCAGAACCGGCTAGTGGCCAATTCCGATCTAACATAGTGGTTACTGGTTAGATTGCCCTATTTTTTCCAACAATGCATCCCTCTCTCCACCAATTGATTGAGATTAAAGCTTTTGCACTAGGCCTTGAGACATGGGTGGTCAGGGTGGCAGGGTTCCATACGAGCTTCATTCCCACCAAGATCCTACATTAGCGTTCAAAAATGGAAAAAAAAAAAAAGGATTTTCTCAAAAAAAAAAAGCTCCATCACAAATTTGGTGGACGGCCTAAGCCATTCCCCCAACATAACACAGGGAAATGAAAATGGCAAATTTAAATGAGGCCTTGTTCAAATGGGGTCCCTTTCAAAACTCCATCTTACAGATGGGTCTATCATTTGAAATACATAGTAAGTGATTCGAAATGGGTTTTTTTCTTTAGATCCATATTTTTTGGTGAAAAAAAAAAGCGTGCAAATTTGATGATATGTGAAGAATTAAAATGAATACCCCAAAAATAAAATTTTAAATTATTTATTTTTAAATTTAAAATGTAGTTCTTTTCAAATGCATGATCATGGAGTTCGACCTATGATAAATCCAAAATCCTTTTGAAACATGTCGATTTACTTGAGCACCAATACCTCTCCAAATCTAAATCATTACCTTTTCAAAATGATAAAGTCACCAATAGGTTGTACCTAACATGAATAATTGTTTATGAGAAGGTCGAAAATGCATTTCACTATTTAAATTTTAAATTTTTCTACAAGTCATTTTCAATAAATATTTTGGTTATCACGTGCCAAATAAAAATATAAAAAATATTATTAAAATTTAAATGACTAAATTACCCGTGTAGGTGTTGTTTGGTTATTTTAAGTTTTAAAAATGTTTATTTTATATTTTTATTATGCACCCTATTATATAGATATATGCCCAATATTTTATCTCGATATGATTTATAAAAGATAAAGGTTTCTACACTTACCTGGCTGCATAGAAGATATATACTTCCTCCCTCATCCAACTGTCCAATTTAGATCAAGTGAGCCACTGATCATTTGACCTGGATAAGATGCCTCAGAGTATTTTTAGTTTTATTTTATTTTTTACAAATTTTATGAATATAAAATTTGGTACGTGTCGTCATCTCAATGGGGCAGGCCTTAAAAAAATATTAAAAATAGTTTTTTGATAAAATATAATGATCAAAATACCCCTTGAAACTTTTGGAATTATTTTAGTCATTTTATTTTATTGAAAATATTTGTTTTATATTTTTTATAGGTGCAAGTTTAAGAGAGGAATGGATGTTTAAAATTTGGTATCAAAATATTTTGTAGAAAAAAATTAAAAATAAAATAGTGTAGAGATGTGACATTGTGATTGGGGCTGTCTCAACCGTCCACATTCAGAATGGACGGTTGGATATGGGAAAGTATATAAGTTTTATACAGTAGGGAAAGTATAGAAAGCTTGCCCTTTATAAAAATATTAACTTTTAAATAAAGGTGTGGTTTCTATAAGGTTGCAACCATAAACAATCCAATTAAGGCTCACCTCCAATTTTTATCATAACATGTAATTTGGT